CGCTCTCCCTCGCTCTCTCTCACTCTCTCTCGCTCTCTCTCGCTCTCCCTCTCCCCCTCTCTCGCTCTCCCTCTCCCCCTCTCTCGCTCTTCCTCTCCCTCTCTCTCGCTCTTCCTCGCTCTCGCTCTCGCTCGCTCTCGCTCTCGCTCCCTCTCTCTTGCTCATCGTTCCTATCTTACTCTGCGCAAAGTAAGAGAGATACCTCTAAGGCAAATCAGATGTGTCATTTGTCATGTTAACTCCCTTGATAAAGATTATTAAATTCATTTATTTACTTATCCCTTCTCGTTTTGGAAAAGCTAAAGCAAAACTGAACCTATTGTAGTATTTGACCTCTGGCGGTTCCCTGGACATTCCGAGAAAACAGTGTATCTCCATCACTCTCTTTTACAAAATTGTAAGTATTTTGTGTGAATGAAATCTTCAAACTTGCAAATAAACACTATATTTTTACAACTAGGTTATTACCCCATCCAAATGTTAAAGGAAAATAAACATAGAAAAATATTTTAAAGTTTCATGCAATATTTAGTCAGAAAAAAGAACGTTTAGCACAGCAAAAACAACAAAACGTGTCAATAGTTGGTAGCGTATGCAAAATTCAAAATTTGCTTTGTCAGAATGTGCCGAATTGTCACATATTTAAAGTCAGAAAACGTATGGACAGACTCACATGGTTTATATTTCATCACATAATTTATTCATGCATATTCATAAGACTTTGGCAAATAAATAATAGTTTTAATGTCAATAAATATTGTTTCATAATAAATCAGTTTATCAATGAAGGTTAAAAAAATTAATCAATAGAAAGGTAAACAACTTTAAAGTCAATTAATTAAATTTTCAATTTTTATGTCATTGTTCTTGTCTGGGTAATCTTGTAATTTTCAGGGTTGTGATCACAGAAACGCTTTACATAGAAACTTTATCGAAAGAATTTATTTTGGTTTTTACGTAGTGTAATATGGTTTCACTCCGAAAATGAGTGACAATGAGATCTGTTTGGTTACATTAATGAAAATACTATATTTCTCATATCTTAAAATAAATAGCAATACTTCTTTCGACTCTTCGTTTCTTAATATTTCATAATTGAAACCTTTCAAATGTATAAAATAAAACAAATTCTGTATATTAATTTAATATGTATAAAACAATTTGTAATTAGTATTGTCTCTTTCACAAAACATTTCATTATTACATCTGCTTTCCACTTAGCACCACTCTCCATTTCCTAATTATTCCTCTCTCATTGTTCCCCTTAAATAAGCGGTCCATTGTCTCCCCCGCAAGTTCTGCACAAAGGTGGCTTCTCCCGCAGCGATGTTTCCTCTGTCTGTTGCAAAGAGCCTCGCCAGTTGTCTTGTGAATCTCGTGAAGCAGTGAGGAAGCTCAATATTTGCTCTCCACGAATAGCGCAGCGCTCAGCGCAGGCAGCCTTACGCAAGAAAACGAACGCTTTTTTCTCTTCGTGTTTTACAGCTGAATGCACACGAGCTAGTGACTTACTTCTTTTGCGTTGAAATTCTGCGTGGTAATGAAATGTTCAATTATGTTTTAACTCCGTAGCACTTTTGTGAATGAAGGCTAAAATGTACATTAAGTGTAGGGAGGGGACGATAAGTTTCAAGAATATTAAATACTTTCAGATACTTATGTTATCTTGTATAGTATTTGAAATACGTTCTTGAAATGAAACGTGGTCTCAAAAATTATTAGGGCCAGCGTAACATAAGCAGATTTGACGAAGAAAAGGGGCGTGGAAAAGAGTCAGTTATCAAAACAGGAAAAATAATGTCAGACAGTTTACTCATAGAAAAACTCTATTCTCTCTGGTAAAAAAAATGTTATGAAAAATTTTAAAGTAAGTGGTAGATCAAATGGCATTGTAAATAGCGCTGAAAGAAGTCGTTTTTATTGGCAAAGTCTCTGTGTTATCGAATTGCGAACAAAAAATTAACATCGCAAAACTACAGCAATGAAATAGAAATTACTTCCTTCATGAAATATTTTTTCAAACTAGGTTGGGAAATGAGTAAAAGAAAATGTTTGAATATTTGAAAATTGCAAATGCAAATAATCAACTTTTTTAACTGACAGGAGATTAAGTTTAGCCAGGCAGCTGGAGGTGTAGTGGTGACGTGCCTGGCGTGTTAACTCTAAGATGGTGGTCACAGTGAAGACGAATTTGGTCGATATTTCGGACGGCCGTCGTCGGACGTTTGGGCGCGAAGAGCTGGATTCGTTTAAACTCTTCTAGGTGAACGGAAATGGTCGCAGCGATTCGAAAGGTCTCTTCCGGCGGCGTACGAAAACGTCAGCAGCTGGACAAAAATTTCCTGCGTTTGGTTTTGTTAGACCGTCATCTGCCGACCGGAATTTCAATCAAAATCGGCTCCATTGTGACTGCTGTCGAAGGGCCTGAGTTCGAATCTCTTCGAGGAAAAATTTCTGGTTGGAATCACTTTTTCAGGTTCATTTAACCATAACAAAAGTGAGGACGTATGTACTGTTGATGTATCACTAGTTCAAGAAATTTGTTTGGCACAATTGTTTGTTTAGCAAGTTTACCTCCCTTTTTACCTGCGAAATTTTCGAAACTTCACCAAAATGTGTCCTTTGTTTTTTACCCTCCCGTGTACATACGAATTATACAGTGTAAAATACATAGTATAAGGAAAGTTGTGTAATGTTTCGGGAAATCGATTTCAAGATTTCAACGGAAATTCAGGATCTCCTGATACCGACAAAGTGGTTCTTTTTTAATCGTCCGTCTGACCGTCTGTCCGTCCGTTTGTGATCATCACTAGCGCCTAAACCATATGTAGAATTTTTTCTAATTTGAAGAAACCCCAGTCCATCTGACTAGAGTCGAAGTTTTGAGATTTTGAAATACATTCTTTAAAATTTGGGGGTACTTTACATGAACCCCTGGAACATTTTCAAAATTTTCTCAAAAACGACTAGACATTTTTTGTTACATTTGTTGTTATAATTGAGTAATATATACTTATATTGAGTAATATAAAATGGCTTAGGACCAATTTTCAGACTGAATTTTCTCTAATTTTAAAAGTTTGAAATTTTTAGGTGTCTTCCTGCAACTACAAAATTAGAGATTTTTTCATTCAAATGAAATATTTTTTCTATATTTAGTTTTTTCGTTAAGGTCATGTTCAATGATTTCAAAATGTTAGTAGTTTTCACACAATATTGCCTAAAATATGTGCAATAAAAAATTACAAAACCAAGATTTTCACAGAAACGGCTCTAATTTGTTTCTTTAAACTTTTGGAAGGGATAGTACTAAATGTTCACCATAAGATGACATAAACGCTATATTGCTCTATTCTTCCGTTATTTCAAAAAAAAATTATACTGACTTTTTCTTAAAAACGACTCCCATTTTTCAATGAAAATTACCATTTAGGACGAGTTTTTACTCTTCTTTAATAATCTTAAAGTAATATACCAGTTAACAAGAGCAGCTGTCAAGAGTATGTGATAAAGTCCGAATAGCTAGTCCAGGCCAAAGAAATTAGAAAACTAATACGATAATGTCTGTACCATTCTATAGCCTCATTAGTTATAATTTTATTTATTTGTGTCACTCTTGAAAATTGTCACACGTTTTGTAACAGAAACTTTTCTCATTTCCTAAGATCACATATCTCCTCTCGGCTAGTGACAAACATCCTTGATGATTCTCTTGCTCACGAGAAAGTCATTCCGGTCCCATCTTACCGAAATCGCGAGTAAACTTAAATTCACAATATTCTGCCAGCAGAGCCGTCCTACAAAATAGTTCTCGAATAAACGTAAGATTATATTCGCGCACACAACGTGCTCAACGGCCGGTGCCACAGAGGAGGAGTAAGTTTTACCCCTCTAAGAGGGTAATAGAAAGTTTGCAAACTTCAGGGGTCCCATATAATTGGAATGATATCCTTGTTATTTTATACTAATACTTATTAAAATAATCTGTTGTTGCCTTAAACGTAAATTAATCTCCCTGCCAAAACAGTGATTGTAAATGTCCCTCTTCCAATAGCCTGCTAATGGTGTCCGTCGCAACATGATAGCCTATCCACAGTATCTCCACCACTTTTTCTTCTTCTTCTTCTTCTTCTTCTTCTTCTTCTTCTTCTTCTTCTTCTTCTATTACAGTTCAAAACCCTAGATGTGTCTATTCAATAAAAGTCCCTAATAAATGTGCCTGGCCGCAAGCAGCGGGGGTCAGGTGACCGCTCTGCGACGGACATTTTACACGTGTCTAATGTAAAAATAAATCTTTCACACTAACAATTCGCTGTTTCAGTGACCGCTTTATCAGGGAGGCCGTTCTAGCAGGTTTCACTGTACTCTAATACGATGTAGCTATCAAAACGACTGCGTCGGGCGGTTTGCTATAAAAGTTTATTTTTACGCTCATCGTCCTGTTTCCAAGGAGTAAAGAGCACGTAGAAGCACTCTGAGCAAGAGATCTAGTTCTCTGACCGCGCTCTGAGGGGTAGCCGTCATTTCCGAGGGTGCAGTGCAGCGAGAGGTCAGCGCTCAGCGCGCCACTTCACGCAGGCCGCGCGGCGGCTCTGCGAGTCCAGCTGCAGCGGAGAAAAAAGCGCCCGGGGCAAGCTTGGGTCAGATGAATTTTTTTTTGAAAAATAAACTTTTTATTCACTTCACAGCCCCTTGAGACAGCGTGCTATGAGTCGGTCCAGTGTGCAATTCCCGGGCGGGGCAAAACTCAAGCTGAAATCGTCTCAGTTTCTTAAGCTATGTGACGAAAGAACGCCCAGGGAGTACAAATAAGCTGCATACGGAGATGGGAAGGTGTCAGGATCAGCACTGTGATGCCTCCCATATCAACATCCACCGTATCCACATCCATATCCGCATGCGTGGAAATAAAAACCTGGCCCAGGCGTGGGAATATTGCTAGCTGTCAGAAGTTGGGAAACTCCGGCTCTAAAATGTCGAATATATACGTACATCCACTTTATAAGTGCATTAAAAGTCACAATATCTCATGGTCTTACTGCTTAAAATTGAAATGAAAATAATACTCGAATGCGTAGTTGCCGTGAAATTGGCTGCGTCAGGCGCTCTAGTGTGGAATTAATCGATGCATTATCGATACGTTCGTCGTTCAATTGCATATGCTCACACCAGGACCGCCCAGAGAAAAACCAGGGGTCAGGGGCAGTTGATCCATGAAGAATCCTTATTTCAAACAAAAAATCCCTCGTTCTCCAATTCATAAACAGGATTAACTTCTCCGTGCATCATGAATAACTTGTAGCGCGAAATTTAGATTTTAGTTGATTTTTTTTAAATTTCGAGATAGGTAACGAGAAATTCCGAGAAGGGGCCTGTGGAAAGTTGCCTTAGGTGCACCCCGTTCTGGTCGCCCCTCGCTCAAGTAGTGCACTTGAATTGAATTTAATTGATGCCTTATTTAACGTGGTGAGACTCGGGCCATCAGGTCCGCTCTTCCGTCCGACCACGCAAATTTCGCTACGCTCCTTTCACCAACTAGCAAAGAA